CTTGGCTTCCTTGTCCAATATCATCTCCAGTTTTAACACGATGTGGTGAACGAGCAAGGTAGAAGTGAGATTAGCCGCCGTACGGATGCATTTCTACACTGTGCATTAGAAGACCGTTGGCCCCAAGATATAACACGTGAACACACCATTTCTTCTTCGTCTTTAACGGCCATGAATGCAGACAACGCAGGGGCCATATCGACCAATTCGGGTTTGTTGTCAGCTTTTGAGACGCCCTGCTCCCACTCCGTCATCAACTTCCCCGTGCACACTTCCTTCACCAAGCTCCCGACGCGTTTGAAAGATGTGAAAGCCTCCACGAATTTTGGCAGTGCACCGCTAGATGGTTCCTTTGCCTTTGCTTGCACAAGTATCTCGACTGGAACAGGAGGATTCCCTTCTTTTATTTGGTGCAAGAACTTGGCTGCAAACCCACGTGTCGCGTTGAAAATGTCAGATCGTCGCGCATCGGACGATATAATACATACCTTTGCTAGCCGAGCATAATATCAGGAGCTTGTCCTTCTGGAAGAGGAGTAAGGTGGAGGGAAACTCATAGCCAAGCAGCCAAGTCTACACGAATTGGCGCGTAAGCCACACAGCAGAGACGTGATTCATGAAGTTCTAATGAAGCTCACCTGAAAGGCAGTCCCTTTCCTCACGGGTTCATCCTCTCCGGCGGGGTCTCCTGACAGCAACAAGAGGGCTTCCGCATCTGCTATAGAGCCGTACTCGTCATTTTGACTCGCATTCTAAAAATGACACAACGCTCATTAGCAACCCAACCTGCACCAAAAACTGAAAGCGTACCCTCCAACCATCATAGACATTTTTTAGACGAGAACTGATTAGCTGTTTATTTAACTGGACCTGCATGGTGGTCGTGAGCGGCGATTGACAGAATGAACTGGCGGACGACGCTGCAGGTGAGCAAGCAGGAGAGCGCGCGCTAAAGAAATTTCTTGTTAGGTAATCAAGTGGTCTCTACTTGCAGTCATTCGCAACGCAAGCTCAGCACAACAATACTAACACTCTTTTAATCGACCACCATGTCTGAACGTAAAGGTAAGAACTCAGCCTCAAGTCAAATCATGGACTGATTTTTGTGTTAGTGTTGAACAAGTACTTCCCCCCGGACTTTGACCCGTCCTTGATCCCTCGAAGGAGGGGTCCAAAGAACTCACAGCAGGTTGTTCGTCTTATGGCTCCGTTCTCCATGTAAGCATCAATTTTTCTGTACCATAATATATATATTACTATGGACACAGGCGATGTAATACATGCGGAGAATACATTTATAAGGGCAAGAAGTTCAACGCTCGCAAGGAAACGGTGGATGGGGAGGATTATTATGGAATTAAGATATTTCGGTTTTACATTAAGTGGTGCGTCATTGCGTCGTTGTCTATTTTAGCGTTTACTGAGAGCCACCCTAGTACACTATGTTCCGCCGAGATTACCTTCAAGACTGATCCCAAGAATACCGATTATTCCGCAGAGCATGGCGCATCGAGAAACTTTGAACCATGGCGAGAAGAGAAAGTTGTCGAAGAGGAGGACCGTCTTGCTCGGCTGGAGGAAGAGGAGAACAATCCTATGAAAGCGCTAGAGAACCGCACCGTCGACGCAAAACGGGAAATGGATATCCTAGACGCCCTCCAGGACATTCGGGCACGAAACGCTCGGAATGAGCGTGTGGGGCAAGCGTCGGATCTGGTTTCTCGGATTACTGCGGAAGAAGAAACGGAAGAAGAAACGGAGAGAAGATTAGCAGAAGAAGAGGATGAGAGGCTGGTGAGGGAAGTGTTTTCGAAGGTGTCGATGCCCGCACTTCTGGGCGGCTCTTCGACGGCGGCGGCAGCGGCAGCGGACAGTTCTGGAGATTCACCTACGGAAGCTACCCCACCACAACTGGTCACTATCAAGCGAAAGGCCGATGATGTCGAGCCCGATTTACGCAGTCTTCTTCCAGAATCGACGCGAGTAGTGCGAGATGCCAAATCTCTTGGTTCACCGCCAGCGAAGAAGCCGAAATCAAATTTAAAAAATAAATTAGGTATCAAGATTAAAAAATGACTCCCGTGTCTGTATGTGAGCAACTTTATATTCAAATGTCTTCATAACTTCCAACCTTGTCAAGATCCCTAAGGATAAATACGGCTTCTTCTACCCTCATCTCCAGTACAGTGAGCTTCTCCCGTTTCGTCTCCCATTCCTTAAGCACGTCTCTCTCCATCCGCGACAATAAATTTTCATCCTGAGCCACATCCGTCCGCGCTCGCTTTGCTAGCACCGCTTTCACAGTCGGCTCCTCTTGTTCTGCCTGTCGCCGCATCCCTATGTTATACAGCGTCTTGTACAGGTGTCCCAACAGCGCAGAATATGCCTTGTGTAGATCAACGTGCCTGGGTATCGGGATAAGTCAACGATCCTGACAAATTAGAAACACCGAGTACCATAGATAAAATGTCCGTGTGGGGTTACGATCAGCACTTCTGGGTACCTCTTGAGTTGAGATCAAAAAGTCAGAGGACAGCGCCGCAAGAAGTGGCCGAACGACGTTGTTTGGCATCATAGCCACCTTCGCAATCTGTTCGGTGTCAGAGACATGTCACTACGAGGCCGACAAGGAAGGCACCTGCTTCTCGTCCATCTTTCCAATATCGAGGAGTAGACGCACTATCCTCACGCCGTCGTCCCCGTGTCGTTCCCGAGCTACTGCCTCCAGCACGCGCCTTCGTAGGCGTTTGCTAACTATTTCAAACTCGACATATACTTTGTTTTCAGTTAGACTTATAAATGACGCCGCTTTACCAGCTGGCGTTGGATTGTCTATGGCGGACATTAGACCGAGATAATCCTTGACTAGTGAAGCACTAGACGCTTTTTTGATTGACGTGACGATACCTGCCGAAAGGCCTTCGTCATCAGAAATGAGCATGGCAATCGCAGCAGTCGATGTAGGATCTATTTTGCTTTAAGCAGTCGCATGAATAACGCGTGTTACAGTGTATCTTACCTGATCTTGCATCGGATACACTCTTTTGTTTGGCTTCAGTCGCTTTTAGTGTGGCCTGCATGACAAGAGCAGCACTTCGATTAAAACGCTCTCCTGTAGCCATCTCGATGAGCTGGCAAATAACATCAGTAGCCAAGAACATGAAACAGAGGTATTCATGGGACTAACCTTGTTACGGATATGGGTATTGAATTTGTCAAAATTCACCCGAAAGTAGACACCATCCTAGATATTTAAATTGAAGCAGCTGACTAGTACGCTGATCGTTGAACTCAACTCACCAAGCCCACACTCTCCGCTTCCTTCTCCTCTCGTTTCAGCCGTGCTTCCGCGGTCTCTTGAGCCTCCCGCAACTCCTTCGCTGTCGGGAAACCCGTTATTTTAGCTTTCTCTTCTGCTTCGTATTTGATACGTTTGTCCCTAGGTGAGTGATGTGAGAGTAATGTGGATGGCTTAAGATATGCGCCGGATATGAGTTTGTGTAATGTCTGCGAGTATAGGCTTGAACCTGGGTGTGCCATTAGCAACTGTCACAAATCAGAAGAAATTTCCCGACTTTTTGGGTTATTGAGTGACAATCGTGAAATGACGTCTGGCTGCTGAAGTTTTCCATGGTCTAGTATTAGCTGCACAATTTCTGCACCCTGATACACAGGCGTGAATTGAGCTTAATGAAAGAGGAAGAAAAAGAGGAGGGTACATACAGAAGATCCAAACAATTGCTCCGCTTGCCACACGAAGCGACCAAATCTAAGACGCATAAGACACTCTAGCGTATTGAACTCCAGCATCTCGCCCTCCTCCTCGGTGTTAGAATGCCATAAAATATTTTGTTGCACCAGAACCAAGGTTGCTACGCGTGCCGTGCGCGGTTTCATCTTCGTGAAACGAATGAGCTGGGCAAGGGAAAGTCTTCCCCGCGTGAGTAGTGCAAATGCAACCTTCTGATAAGCCATTCAGGTATAAATAAACTTCTGGTGCTAGTACAAACCACACGAAAACTCACCGCCGTTAACGGACCAAAGTGTGACCAGACAATCTGAACACATAGGCGGGAAGTCTCTGCATCCGCCATTACTGAGTACTGTAATTGTACTAATGGTTAAGAACGAGGAGACGATTTGGAAGTCATACATACTCATCAATAGATCTCCAGAAAAATGATGACGTAATCACATATCATCATGCCCCGGAATTCTCAGCTCGTGCTTGGATTCACAATTACTTTCGATATGCCTCTTGCTCGCAACATTTGTACATTTGTGCATCAAGAACGCTACTAGCAGCAAACTAGTGTAGTTAGAAGAGCAGAGGAAACAACATTTGCGTGTTCAGCGAAAACTCAGACATGATCAGCGTTGCACTGAACGTTGAACCTTTGCAATTCATTAATATTGGCACCATTGCACTACCGTTTACTGCTTTGAGTTGACCTCGTCATGCTTCTCCTGCAGCCTGGCCTGATGTTCAAAGTCAGGATATTATTAAGCGACAGAAATACTGGTAACTTACAAGTTCCTCCTTCTTTGCCTCAATCTACAGAACTGATTAGGACAATGAAACAATTGTAATTCTTGTGGTGCACACCTCAGCTTTCAGCTTGCGCAGGAGCTCCGCCTCGTGCCTACGAGCGTACTCGTCTGTGAATAGCAAACAATGAGTGTGACAATGATACTGGATTTGCCACAGGTAAATGTACCTTCATGAGCTTTCTCCTTTTTGCTGCAGTTAATACTGTTAGATAGACGTCCACTGCGCTGCAAGAATCTACACATACGAGAACCCCTTGCTCTGAGCAACACTGCCTTCTTTGATACTTGAGGTGTAACTCCTTGAGAGGACGAGCCGGGTGAGTGGGACACGACGGGCAATAACAGTGAACATCATGATATATGAATCGTTTGCGCTGGAATATCCAAGATGGAGCCGACGTTGAACGTACTCAAAGCTGGCAATATATATACCATGACTCAACACGTGACTCTCAAACAACACGGAGCAACACCGCGTAACGTCACGCTCCATTCTCTTTTCTAGCCATGTTGTCCATGAATTTCCTCAGACAAGCGGTGAGCTTTTAGATCATTAATATTTTCATGTCATTGAGCTCATTTATGCGACAGGTCCGCTCTGCACGGTCCTTCTCTACGACGTCTATTGCTCGTAAAGGTTTGTTCCGCATTTCGCCGACCGGCACATGAGTCAATGGATTGACGAAGTCTTTCGGCAGACCTTGTCCAGGACCTCTATGTCAAGGAGCTAAAAGCCTACAAGCCCCCTGTTGCAGTTCGTTTTTTCTAGTGACGTCTGATTTAGTTCATTCCAGCAACTCACCCGTATATCCTCTAGGCAAAAGATGCACACGTTGGCGTTGTCAAGAATTTCTCATTACCCGCTGTTCCAAAACCCCCCACTCTTCCCGTCGACCTAGCTGCCGAACTCACCGCGTATGACGCGACTGAACCCACAAAAGCTGAGGCAGAGGTTACGAGCTCGACTGTGCATGCAGGAGAGGATGTGGGTAAGGGTGCGGATGCATTCCTTGGATTCTTGGAGGCAGACGTGAAGCAGGCAGAGGTTCATCATTGAGTCAAAGATACCTCGATCACTGTCAGTCTAGAAATGCACAACAACTAGATTTATCCTGCCAGAGGTGTGCATTAGACCAATCCCGAACAGATCTACACTATTGTGCATGCTCTCAATTCGCAGAATCTTGCTAAAATTTTACAACTAAAGTTATATCCCATGCCGGTAATCTCTTTCTCCAGTGCGCCTCCGGGAGTCTCCGAGCAATGGTTGTTGCGGAGCGTCATTATTGTACAGATGAGTCGCTTTCGACGAAAATTATACAAGATTATACTGGCGTGCTATCAACACCATCGTCATATCATGGGATCAGGTGGTTGCTCGTAAGGAAGCTCGGAGGGAACATCAAATGCAGTCATTCGGGCCCAGTGACGGTCAAACAGACCAAGAACATGACCACACATGCCCGTTCCTAATTCCCACCAAATGATGCTATCCTTCAACACCAGCCCCCACCTCGTTCTAAGCCGGTAACACGCCCGAATATGCTGTAAAGGTGAGCCACGAGAAAAAGCGGTGATGAACTGAAAGAATAGGGGACACGATAGAAACTTGAAAAACGGTACTTAGCCTACGGTCGTAATTTTGATGTTCGGGTTGCGTGCGATCCAGGGCCATGATAATGAAAAAAGTCTGATAAGTTAGACCTGCTACGAGCAGGCAATGAGGCTGAGCGGTAGCAGCAGTGTAGGGGCGCAGGAAAAGAATGGCGCCAGAGAGGGTGTGAGGTGCCGACGCTGTCTTAATACATGCGGGGTCGTTTTTCTTCAATACGCTGTGGTCAGCAAAGTAAGTGTAAGATACAAAACTGAGACATACCTGGTGAACTATGAGGCGTGCCAGCTTCAAGTTCACCTTCTTCGGGGTCGACCTCATCGTGATGGCGTTTTGCCGATGAAATACTGGACAGAGTCACAGAGCTTTCATTGGATACAGCATCGCCAGGGTCCTGCCATTCGTCATCGATTTCGCCATCACCGTCTAATTCATCATCCCATTCTTCATCCCATTCCTCTTCCAAAACTGGAAAAGTTTGTCCGCCACCCTCTTCTGTGGGGTTAGCATTGGTGTGAGAGGAAGAATGATCTAGCTCAAAATCTGGGTTATGGGTCAGCACGGTCTCTCACCAAAAACCAGCTACCTTACCAGCCTCGTGTTCAAGCATTGCAAGTAAATTAGAATCCGACTCATCTGTTGGGAATTGCGCTGATGATTCGGGCTGATCTGTATTCTGATCTACAATAAGATCTAATCGGCATCAGTGTTAGTAAACAATATCAAGTGAAATACTCGGACACACCTTTGTCAGTGCCATGGCTGTTCTGCTCTTCGTATGATGGTAAACGATCTCCTCGTTCTAGCGCAAAGTGAGGATACAAGCACATTCTATAAAACAACATTGCTCACCATCCAAAACGCCGTGCTGATCCAAGTCTTCGTCGTTGCATCGGTCTCCTGTTTCTGATATCTGAGCGGGCTCAGAGTCGATATGTTGTGCTGATGGTACTGGTGTAGTCTCTTCTTCATGGAGGTCAGATACAGGCAAACCTGTCTGTGACTCTTCTACTGTTGTGGGTACAGCCGCCGTTTCGTAACCCACCGTTTGATCGTATCCGAATTCTATGTGTGTGACGTCCTCTTCGGGGAAGTCTTCATAGATTTCGCCATATTCTTCTGGTTGTATGTAATCCTGGTACTCGGCCTCCTCCCCTCCGAACTGCACATTGACGCCGGAAACAGTTGCAGTAGCGTCCGTATCCGCTATCTGATGCACGATAGCGGTGTCATGAACGTCGTCGCCCTCTTCTTGATACTCTGTGCCGGCGTTCGTGCCTTCATAATCATCCTCTCCTTCAAGGGCCTGTGCTACGTCACCACTAACACTGTGATAGGCAACATCTGTCACAGCCTGTGGGATAAAAGCCATGTCCTTAGCAAGGGTATCATCACCCTGGAGTAGGTCTAGAGAAACTTTCGCCTCATGAACGCCTTCTGTTTCATCGAGATCGTTCTGGTCGCCAAGGAAAAGTGCTTTGTGTTGGGCTTCTTCCTCGTGGTGATCTACACCTTCTTCATCGTGATGATCTGTATCCTCTTCCTCACGGTGCTCTGCTTCAAGCTGGACTTCTTCCTCATGCTGACCTGCTTCTGGCGCATCATCATGCTGAACTGCAGGGGGGTATCCTGCAACAACGTTCAAAGATAATTTCGATATTGTTGAAGAGGAATAAAAACCTTCTGCTGCAACATTTTCATCAACGCCTGCAGCCAGATCAAGCCGAGAAATCTGTTCTTGAAGTAAACGGTAACGCAAAATAAATCTAGGTATGGCCGAACGCAGATGGATGCGGAGAGGGCCCGTAAAATCAGAACCATCGTGCAGTACGTTCAGGTCATGCAAACTGATTTCCTGTGCATAAACATTGTCCTACATGGAAATCAGCGCTTATCCTGCGCAGAAGGATAAACGACACCCACCTCCAACATAGCGAGCTGAAGATCGTAAGCATCCATCACCAACTCTCCCTCGAGAGAGTCAGGAATCCGGGAAATGACTTCATCCTGCCGAAGTGCTTCAAATACACAACTAAGGGGCTCATAGTACAGCGTCGGCCGATTCTCCAGGAGCAACGCATACGCCTGTTGGTTGCTAGCTCCTGCAGACGGACTACGGGACCCACGTTCCACTGGAGGCTGGTTGAATAAACAGTATTCAGGTACTTCAGAGGAACCGATAGACAGAAAAACAGCGGGTGGCGGGTCAATGTAGACGCCATCAGATATTTCGTGTGGATCGTTCGCATTGTCTGCCTCATCGCGAAGGCTTTCCGGATGGGTTTCACCCTGAGGCTGCGCAGTATTGTCAGATGAGATGTCTGACGGGTGGAATGTCTCAGACTGCTCCTCAACTTGTGTTTGAAGCGTGGGTTCTGCCTCTGTAGGTAGAACAATTGATCCAACTCTAGGGGTGGTTTCAGAAACCGGATCATCCGCGTGTTTTTCTACGGCATATGGATCCGTCGAAGCCACAGAAGGTACGTTCAACTCTACAGCCGTTTGATCGGCAGCAGTGGTAAGATGAGTGGGATCCAACTCCGATAGTTGCTCTAACGTTAAAGCGAGAGATTCCTCCTCTCGCAGAGCACTGAATTCTGCTTCCTCAGCTACAGGATGGCTGTTTTCCACCAGGCGATCTGTGATAGATGCGTCGTGTTCAACAGGAATGGTGACTAGCTGGGGTGTGAACGGATCCGAGAAAGGGGTAGGGGAGGGAAGCAATGATATCTCCGGATTGATTATCAGAGACGATAATGAGTGTGAGTCAGGTATGGGCCGAGGTGAGCGAGCGTCGGAAGCGTCGTAGACTTCCACGTCGAGCAGCTCATGGTGATAATGGCTTTCGTTGAATTCCTCCGTCTCATCAGCCATCTCATACTCTGCATTGCCATCATAGTAAGTCTCCATGTCGACCTCGACATCCTCCTGGTTATAAGTCGTGTGATGACCATCGTGGTCCATGGACAACTCCACAAAAAATTCTTGCGCAGCTGCTGGGTTCATTGGAACATCAATTTCGGTAGCGAAATCGTGCATTGGCGCATCCAAAGGCTCAGGAAATGGTGAAACTGACATTGCAAGGGCAATAGCAGTCAAATAAGGGTCAAGGTCAAGAACAAGGTGCAATGCAGACAAAGCTTATTCATCCACACATGGTCCGTGCATAGCACGTGACATGGCACATACCTTGTTCGTGTACCGCGACGAGCCACATCTCCTGAATCACTACAGGAATGGGTTCAGAAAGACTGTCAGGGACTCACGCCACTGACATGGAGGTCCTCATGAGGCGAGGAATGACCAAAGGATATGAAGTATTTTCTTTACTCACCCCACCAGCATACGCTGCTTTTGTGCTCTTGCGCAAAGGTAAAGGTCACTTTACTGTCAATCGATTCCTTCGCGCGACGTGGGTAGGTGGTGCAGTAGGTATGCAATCACAATGCTGACATATTTACTTCCTGTTAATACTGAAAATCTCACTCCCTAGGATGCGCAGGAGGAGGCGCACTCGAGTATATTCGCTCGTCCAGGGCCAGTGAAGCCACTGTGAGGAACCGGCGCCTGCAACACGCCTACGACGTATGTCCAATTAATCCTGAATGCTACTTCAAGTTCAGGTTGTTTTTCAGACTGCTTCATTACGTGCCAACGACCACTCTACTATTGGCGCGATATTGTTTGCGGTGCTAACGCCTGCAATCTTCTGGAAGAGAGCGAGCACAGTGAACTGTGAGCGAAATATTTCACGATATACTAGTGCATGCCGCCTATTTATCTTCAACAGTGGTGATTGGTGGCGCTGGGATTGGCTCTGCTATTGGGCTCCTAACACATTATGGACGAACAGTAACAGGGGATATAACACCAGATGCACAAATCCCCGACATTCCCGCTACATCATCATAAAACATCAGCCCTTCCATCGGGAAATCGACGGTCTGGTCTAACAGGCAGCCAGAAACGCCCGCCAGTGATAAAATCTAGTATAGTCCTTGAGATTCCAAAACACGCAATTGCACATTACCCATTTTCTAGCAGATCTGGCCCTTTACCAATGATCATACCGTAGTTGGCTGATACATGCAGTAGTTTCATCTTCTAATTACGGGATGATCATCAGTACCGACATTGCCTCAATACTCAGTACTCAGTCTTACTTCTCTCATGCACCCACTATTCATGGACTCGCTTGCAGATTAGTGCTGTCAAGGTGGTGCACCTCGGGGCATGCTTGCTTTGGCCCTCCAATAATTGCCCGTCGCCACTTGAGCGCGACTTGGTATTTATGGCTGTTCCCTTCTCACGCGAAAATGTTTACTACAGTGCTAGCCTGAACGATTATCGATGTGGAGCTGTTGGATACCGTGCCTTCGGGCGGATCTTTCAAACAGAAACGCAGGCCCTAGACATCAGCTTATGCCATGAAAGTGATGATTTCTTTGGACACAACTGATCCTCCCCGGTCAACCAACGAGTCAGCCACTGAGTAGCCTAGCTAAGCATTTGAAGAGAACAATGCCTGAGTACCTTTTCAGATTTGACGTACGGACCACCATTACACTGCATGTCAGGTTGACAACCTGAACCACGAAACGTGATGGGAAGACACAGCAGCCGGTCAAGCGCATCAGGCTGACACAGCAATGACACAAACGGTGCGTGGAACGACCAGCAACTTACGGGGCTATTGTCTACTGTCGGCAAGGATAATGGAGAGGCAATCGTGAATAGATCTGACCCGGAAATAGCGTGCTTCATCACAGTGATTGTCGTCGTTGTACACCAACAGGAATAAACCAAACAATTTAGGACAAAAGATCAGCGCATGTATTGAAGCGAGGGGGCGGCATACGCGAGGATCACCGTCGTCGGACGAGTAATAAAAGACCTGCGCAAGTAGCGCCCGCAACAAAGCTCAACGTAGTAACCAAAACGCCAGCGGTCGTGAGGTTCAGTTTGGCTTCATACACCTGACGGGACGACCTGGCTCCTAGCTCACCAGGAGATGGGACTACGTTCTTCTCCCAGCCATCATCAAGAAGCCTCCTTATCATCTGATCGTCCAATAGAGCAAGCTCCTCCATTTCCCAAGAAGTGCAGACATCAATCATCCACCGCATCCGTCTCTTCCCAATTGCACCGCCCACTCCAGGGGCTCTCTCCTTCAACTTCACTCTCAGCTCACCCACCCTGGTAATTGCATCTCCGGCATGCTCTGGAAGGCTTTGCTCGACCTTCTTCCGTATGATATTAGCCAATTTAGGGCTATTCCCGTTTGTCGAGATCATAATTTGAAGAGGGCCGTCACGGATTTGAGAGCCAAAATAAAAGTCGCATGACTCCGGGATATCAGCCACGTTAACGGGAATCTTGAGCTCCCTGCATAGGCAACAAATGACACGAGACTGCGCCACATCATCAATTGCCGTTAATACAAGATCAACATCGGCCAAGTCTTCCACGCCCCCGAACAGGCGGTCATGGTATGTGATATTATAGGGTCCATCGAGGAAAGACTTGGTAAGAGTGTGCAGTCCGTTACTTGGACTGATAAGCGTCACGCGAGCATCGGCAGCTAGCACAGATTCGATACGCCCAGAAGCAACGTCACCACCGCCGACGATGAGCACATGTTTTCCTTTCAGTTGCCAGGCCAGCAACAGAGAACCACCGCCCAAGTGAGACATGATTGAATCCCAAATCAGTAAAAATGTTTGATGGACCTGCCGCATAAAATATGATGGCGATAAGGAGCCGGTCAGTTATACGGAAAAGAGCTTACGGAGAGACTTGGGTGAATTACTGAGAGCTCGTGAGAGCTGATGCGGTTGATGCGGTTGAAGTGAATGATTAATGAGCGTCTATGATTGTGAAGCTGCAGCGTGGTAGTACCTGCCAATTTCCAAACTGGTCACGGTGTACAAAGTTTGTTCCAATGGTGTTGTGTTTGTCATGGAGACTGAAATTTAATATTGTCGATAACAGAAGGACCATGCTACCACACTACCATACCACCGCCTGCCACTGCCCTCCCATAGCCTTCCATGAGTACCCCTTGACACTACTGTCGGCTTTTTTCCCCGCGTCTTCAACTGCCCTGAATTCCTGTATCTGCATCAAATTCTGATCGTCTCAGCAGCACCGCCATCTGTATACATATTGTAAGGGAAATCCTATGATCTCCAATCTCTGGTTCACAGAGTGCTCACTCCTTCCTTTCGTTCTTTTCTGCTGCGCAGACGCTCGACGTTGATCGTCGTTTGACTAGTTTTTGGTACCGAGCTCTAGCCAGGCGCTATCGTTCCTCTACTCTCCGGAAGAGTGTCATCTCCATCAATCCCATTCAGCTCACAAGCCAACCCATTCATTAGGACGTCTGTTTCTTGATCCTCTAACGCTCTTCTACACAACACTCCATCTAGTTCCATCATCCAGGCAAAAACAATCATGTTGTCGAAGAAATTGATTGGAGCATGGGCATTCTTTGTTATATGTCTCATGGCCGCTGGTATCCTCTCGTTGACCTTGTCCATCGTATGGCGTCAACCCAACCTTATGCTGAACTTGACGTTTAGTGGTGTGAACTTGACTGGTAAGTGCTCCATGTACCTGTGTGTATAACATCCCCCTGAAAATGACATCTGAAGCTGGCAGCGTGCTTGGTATAACTCTCCTTGCCACATTTGTTCTGTCACTGCTTGTTATTACACAACGCGGCACCCTGGGTTTGAAAATTCTCAACTGGATACTTCTTGGAAACAGCATCGTCATTCTGGTCATCGGCACATATATTTGGATCTTCACGCTGCATGAGCGGAATAACTATCATGCTGTATTTGGGCAACAGAGTAACGAGACCAAGATTCTGATCCAGGATATGGTGCGTCCCACTCGGACTGCAACTCGTGGTTATGTTGATTTCCTTATTTTTATATATAGCTCAAGTGCTGTGGTTACTTCGACGCTACCGATGAGGTTGCGTTTGGAGGCACTACCTGCCCCAATCAGGCCGCCGCAACTGCTTTGAACAATTTCTGTGTCACGCCCATCACCAAGTTTACAGATCTGACACTGAACAACATTTTCAGGTACCTTTCCCTTGTTATTTCCTCACAAACAGAACTCTCATACCCTCTGTAGCACTGTCGATGGTTTCATGGCAATCGTGATTGGTCTTTTCCTGGCAAATATGTGCGTTATCAAGAAGGTAAGGCATCGTTTTGTCTTAGCAACTGGCCCCACTGTTGATCCGTTTCCTTCTCAACCAGAGGCAGGAGTTCGAGCGCTTTGAAAAGATCGACTCGAAACGTGAGGGGCACAGTTTTTTTTAAAGCGCATTGCTACCGCTCTTCAAGTGTTATCGATTAATCTGGATTGCCCTATTTGTTCACGCAATCAAGGTTCCGTAGTCCGTGACTGCGGATGGTGTTTAAACCAATACTATTCGAGGACATTGTTACATTGGTTTCATATCGGTTTATTTTTCTGGTCTTGGATACAAGCCAGACCTACCTAAAGAAGGAAGAACAGTCCTTGTTTATGTCTTGGATGTGGACTTCCCCTTGAGCCTTTTGTTTGTACTCAGTGGATCAATTGTTGTAGTAACTATCGATAGTGATTGGGCATTCGATGTTTCGAACTTCGGAACAAAATTTATCCGTGTACTCGTGAACGGGTTGCTCATACTTACGTAGCCTGGCCACTCAGTGTTTGCTAATCAAGCTAAGCACCACGACATACTATACTAGTCATGCTCTCAGAACCGCACACAACTTGTTACCGTCAACCATGCCCAGGACTCGCAAAAAGAAGATTCCTGTAACGAACACTGACAAAGCGAGCTCGTCGAGCACTCCCACCTCAAGTCGCACTGTCATCCGACGGTTTCATGTCCTACTGAAAAAACAGAGACAGCTGAAAAATGTCTCTTCTGCCAATGCTGAAGTACTCGGGGAAATAGAACATGAGATCGATGAGCTGGGGGGATTAGCGGCCTATCAGCGTATGTCGAGTATTGGGCAGGGGAATGACCGCGGCGGCGGAAGTGAGAAAGTGCTCATACAGTGGCTGATTCATATGGGACTTCGGAAGAGGGAAACTCAAGGGAAGCTGAGGTACTTAAGAACCACCTATTCAATAAAAGCAATTGAACTGGCTCTAACATATCTACGACAAACAGGCTTCTGGAAGTTGGTGCTCTAAAGCCTGACAACTATCGAACATGCATGTCATGGATAGATACCACACCCATGGACCTTCGCAGCCGCCATCCCTCTATTGTAGAGCAGGATTTTCTGTTGATGGACGAAGATGAGAATCGAGGCAAGTGGGATACCATCAGCCTGAGCTTGGTCGTGAACTTTGTTCCGGACCCGAGAGATCGAGGTACACATGTGCAGTGTTCGTGGTACCCGCAACTTGACACTACCTTTCAGGGCGAATGTTATGCCTTGCACATTCTATGTTAGCCCCAGATGGCCTACTCTTTCTCGCGGTAAGCAGTTGACTTGGTTCCCAAGTCTTTAGTGCATCCATAAATGAGGGGCTAACCTCTCTTACTAGCTTCCGCTTCCGTGCGTGGAGAATTCGCGATACTTGACTTTCGATAAGCTTCAATCTCTCATGAACGTCATCGGATTTACTGAGGTCCAGCAAAAGTGGAAGAAGGGCGGGAAAATGGCGTACTGGTTGTACAGGAAAAGTGAGGGTGACTATAAGCCTCTCGACGAATATCGTAAGAAGAATGTCTGTAGGCAAGGTGATAGAAATAACTTTGCAATCCTATTGCCATGATCATAGCACTCTTTATTGATGACCGCGTCACAAAAAGTTTGAACTCATTGGACCACTTTCCGTGTCTCGCTGGTAAAGTATGCACAATTATCGTCCCAGGGCCGGCCCGACAAAATATTCTGCCAGTCAAATACTAGTATATTCTGAGGGATATATAAGAACAATGTTTACACTGTTACATTCCTCTCAAGCACCGCCTTCCCCTCCAACCAGCCTTGCTCCCAACTGTGCTTCCGAGCTGAGACAAATGACTTGAACCATGTATTTACTGTGTCCCACCTTTCCACCATGTCCTGAAGCTCTGCACTCCCATGTGCGCAATGATTTATGCGATTTGCATTAGGAATCAACGAAGACAGCACTACCGTGACGGTCATAGGATCAATGATAGGGGATGCACCAACGGAAAAGTTTTTGATATTCAAGTTGATAGCATCGGCCCGGAGCACATCTGTGAAATCATTTTTGAAAGTGGCACTGAAGAAAATTCCTAGAGAGAAGAGCTGATGGCAGTGTTTTAAAAGAGATACAACTCCATCAAAAGTTGCCTGCGGGGCGATGAGCCAGCGACCCTTGTCGCCCAGGTAGAGGTCTTGTAGGTTTGGACAAGACACCGCCAGCTCTTCGAGGAAGGCATCATCAATATCCGAGGTGCATAGATCTGCAAGGTTTAAGTAGTTGAGTCCCTTGAATGATACAAGCGGATGTAACATGATAGAGCTGAGAATAATTGATCTGTTGTGGGGTATCGTTTTGACGAGCCCAAGCTCTAGAAGTTCGCCGGGATTCCTGAAGCACGCTTTTAGGCGCGAGAAGAAAAGTTCGGGGAACATTCCATCATAGCGCTCGCAGAAAAGGTGCAGACGTTGAGTCGAGAAATGTATATTTTCGATGAAGGCACAAAAAGATGAGGGCGAAGGTATTGAGATCTCTACTGCAGCACGGGGGGAGCAAAACTCTAACACCGGGGATTTAAGATCTGAGATAGAAAAACGCAAGTCTTGAAGCGTTTGCAAAGAGCCAGCGTGCGTCAAAGCTTGTTCATCCAAAGGGCCAACCTGCAACACTTGAAGGCTATTCCAGCCCACAACTGCCTCGCTGATTGCTTGCATCGACGAATCCTCTGCATCAACGCATTTGAATTCTTTGAGCAAAGGACACGATAGTGCAAGCGATGCAATAGCGGCACACTTGTGGACACTCCATGAGATGGGCGAAAGGCTAAGGGCCATCAAATTGGGCCCACAAAAACGACGTAAGAAAGGGAAAAAATCTTCACGATTGGATAGCCAATTCAACTTGGTAAGATTCGGAAGGATGGGTCCTGGAACAGGAAAACAGCTCAGAAGTTGCATGGTACTGATATCCCATGTATCCGATTGAGACGAGATTGTCAGCGTACGGACACGTTTTCCATATTGTGCGAGAATGCGCCAATCCGCATCATACAATGGGCGATCCCAGATCTAAGGGCTGGTTCTGAGTAACAAGAGGGAAACACACGTCGGCTCGCTCACTAATTTGTTATTTACATCCCGCTTCCCACCAGAACAGATAACGAGTGCATCCAAAGAGTGGAGCTGAGCCCACAAGACATCTAGTGCAGGGTCTTTAAATGCTCGACAAGTTCGTGCTAAAGCGACAACCGTGGCGCGACCCTCGTGGTCCTCTTCTGTGCGAATAGGATCATAGATAAATTCGAATATAAGCTGCGCAACATCTGGGATCCAGCGGTGCATCTTTGTTCAAAAAAACTAGTAACGAGGATGAAAATGCGTTTAGTGATAAAATGAACGAGTTGCAAGAATCGGCGCTCAAGCACTCACTTAGCTGTGACAATATTGATCGCGTTACTGAGGCGTGACAAAGTCATTCCTCGACTCGAGTCCCCGAAGACTCGGAGCATCCCCGGGCCTGTACGGTAAAGCAACTGCCAGTGGAAGGACGGCGAAACTGTCATTAAATTTATTGTAGCTGACAAGCCTCCAGGCTCGGCAAGGGCTCTGATCATGACTAAGTATCTGATCCTCTGAGCTTCCGTTTTCATGTGTAGGAATCCCTGGTAAGTACTTGACTTTTGACAAACTCCTGCCAGGCTCCATGATGAACTTCAAGTGGAAAGTCTAATGGTTGTACGGGAAAGGTGGGAGCCAACATAGGCTCATTGGCGAATATATATTATCGCAAGCAGGATCCTTGTCAGCAGGGTCATAGAAATATTTTCCCAATGCCAGTGATCATAGTCATATGCTACGACCCATCACAATAAGGTCAACAAACGTGTTTGTTGAACTTTGTTCAGTGGTAAAGAATATTCGACATCCTTCCACGAGGGCCCTGTTAATCTGTAGCACTACTGAACTAGCTGAAGGATACGAAAAGAATGACCGAATCAAATTGTCAATACACATACTGTATCCTCTTAAACCTCCGCCTTCCCTTCCAACCAGCCTTGCTGTCGACTCTCCTTCCGGGCCGAGACAAATGTTTCAAACCACATATTTACTGTCGCCCAATCTACCCTCATCCCCTGAGGGTCCATAAGGAATATGTTGGAGATGGAATAATTTATGCGAGTGACACTTGGAAATAGAAAGGACAGCACTGCTGTGACCTTCACAGGATCACCGATGGGGGATGCCCCGACATGAAATTCTGTGATTTTTGGACTGATTGCGTCGACCGAAGCCACATATGTCGTGTTACTTTTGAAAGTGGCATTAAAGAAAATGCCAAGACAAAACAACTGGCGGCAGTGCCTCAAGAGAGATATGATTCCATCAAAGGTCACCAACGGAGCAATGAACCAGTGATGCTGGTCACCTAACCGGAGTCTCTGTAGGTGTGGACAAGACAGGGCTATCTCCCTGAGAAAGGTATCGTCAATATGCGCAGTGCACGAGTGCCCAAGATCCAAGTGATTGAGTCCCTTGAATGTTAGGAGTGGATGCAAAATGTGAGAGTTGAGCACGATTAATTCGTCACTATCATCCTCGGGTGATATCTTGTCCACGATCAGCGAGAGCCATGTGAGTTCTTCAGGATGCGCTAAGCATGCCTGTAAGTGCGAGAAGAAATGTTCAGGGAAGGAATAATCGTAGAGGGAGCAGTGAATTTCCAGGCGTTGAATTGAGAGATGGACGTTTTGCATGAATATTTGAAAGATAGAAGGCGTAGGGATTGAGATCACCATCAGGGCATGGGGGTTGCAAAGTTCCAATAGGGAGGATCTAGGATCTGATGCGGCGGAGAAATGCAACTCTTGAAGGGTTTGCAAAGAGGCTACGTGTGCCAAAGCCTGCTCGTCCACAGGACCAACCTGCAGCAGTCGAAGTTTGTTCCAGCCCAAAACTGCCTCGCTGATTGCGTGCATCGAAAAATGATCTGCGTCTGGGCATAAAAATCCCTCGAGCAAAGGACATGATGATGCAAGCGAAGCAACAGCAACACACTTGCTGACACCCCATTCGTCGGGTGAAAGCCTCAGGGTTTTAAGATTAGGCCCGCAGAAGCGATGTAAAAAGGGGAAGTATTCTTCATTGTTGGACAACCAATTCAATTTTGTGAGATTCGGAAGAAGGGGTCCTGGAAGGGGGAAACAATTCAGAAGCCCCATAGTGCTGATATGCCATGTCTCTGAATGAGGTGAGATTGTTAGCGTGCAGACGCGTCTTGTATGACGCGCCAGAACGCGCCAGTCCGCATCATACAATGGTTGATCCCAGGTCTAAGTTTAGGTTCTGAATGATGAGAGGGGATAATGATGATGACACACTCACTGATTGATTCCAGCGATCTCGAGTCCCACCAGAACAGAGGACGAGTGCATCTAAAGAGTGGAGCTGAGCCCATAGGACGTCCAGGGCGGGATCGTTAAACGCTCGACAAGTTCTTGCCAGACCGGCCACTGTAACGCGACCATCGATATCCTCTTCATTGCGGATAGGATCATAGATATATTCAAAGATAACCCGCACGATTTCTGGGATCCAATGGTGCATCTTTGTTCGGACAGACAGGTACCAAACAGGAATGAGTACTGAGTAGTGAGTGCTCAGGCAGTCACTAGTAACTACTCACCAGTATTCTAGATCACTTCAGGGTAGAAATATCTGTGGTGTCGGATCCGACTGCGATGGAATGAGTTATAAGTAAGTACTGTAGAGATAAGCACCTACTTAGGTTCAAGGGTTCGAAGGAGTGTGATGTGTGACATTTAATTTTCTTTCTGCGGGCATATCTCCTTGTATAGCGCAGATATGATGCTTGTACTCGCCTGGAGATGAGAGTTATGTCTGTATTTTTATCTCCATCCGGCTATATGTTGTTTCCTCTATATGTTTTTTCCCGTGTGTCACACTTTTAGATTCAAGCCAGACTCAGCCACCGAGTGACATGCTGCGTATCTCTACAGTAAGTGGTAAGTATATCCAATCATAAGTCACTTACTACTAATAGACGAGTCTGGCCCAACGAGTGACTCGACCAAGAGACACACGTGTACCTATATGCTCACCTTGCTCCGTAGCAATTTGAATCAGTAAAAATCGTGACTCGGGCTGTGACAAGTTGTGACAACATGATCACTTATGAATAAGCGCGGCGCCACCAGTTGTTTGCCACAAACCCACCGTCCACAACACTAACATACCACCCCTTCCTTTCACCTCCCACTCTGCAGGAAAGCCATAATGAGCAACATGGAATGGGACAGCAAGACCGTCATCGGATTTAAGGCTAAGGCCCCCAAAGTCACCCGCAATGCGTCGGACTTAAATGGTAAGTAATGGTACAGTCATTTGTACTTGAAACACCTGATGAATCACAAATTTACAGCCGTATGAGTTTTTACTTCCAGATCAACTGACTTTGACTGACAACCTCGAAAGGCGCGCAGAACAGGAGCTGTCGTTGCTACAGACAAGAAGGTCACCGCTGGTGGGAACAAAGCCCGTCCAGGTGCGTCATTACACAAGTCAGTCAGTATCACACGACTTACTAACTGTGTGGCCATCAGGGCCAGATCACCAACGCATAGCCAAGCTTGACCGCGAGAACGAAGTCGCTCCTCCACCGAAAGTAAACGCAAGCGTCGGCAAGGTCGGTACTGACTCATAGTCCGTCACGTGGACGCTTACACAGCATGCAGGCTATCCAAACTGCTCGCATGGACAAGCAGCTGACTCAGAAAGACCTGGCCCAGAAGACGAACGAGAAGCCTTCTGTAATACAGGACTACGAATCCGGGAAGGCTATCCCTAATCCTGCGGTCCTCGGCAAGTTCGAGAGGATTCTGGGTGTCAAGCTTCGTGGTGAGTACAGACGTCCCATTTCAAGCACCATCCGGAAATGATGCTCGTTTATAGGTGCAGATATTGGAAAGAAGCTGGAGGGGCCGAAGAAGTCGTGATTTGACCCCTCCGTCGTCGCATTATATCGATACATATCGGTGTGGATTGCTATTACATGTGTAGTTCTGTCTGTTATCACTAGATCTTTTCGCATTATTGTACTGAACATCGTTTACAACGTTTCTGAGCATAATGGAAATCGAACAAAATACAAGCAGCCATCAGACAACAAGCGAATGATATACATGAACTTCACTTCGATCCTACTATGAACCCTGTTCTGCGTCTGGCGCCCCCTGTAACTCTTGACCTGAGCGCAGACACAATGAACGGTGAACAAAAGAACTTACATAAGTAATATAATCTGCACTCTCGCAAGCCTTATACTCTTTGAGCAACTCCTCTGCAGTCGCTCTAATGGGCCGCCGGTCAATCAAATTCTTAGTTGTAGACTTCAAAAGTCACACACCTCGCATCATCAAATTCTTCTAGTCCATTCTCGAACATTTTCTCTTTCTTGTATTGCTCTAAAAATGCATTTCGTTTCCGGAGCCGGTCAAACTGGTCGAGCATCCGCTTGAATAGCTACAGAAAAAAAAATCAGTATTGAGTGAAGACGTAGGCAAATGTCTTTCTACCGAGGCAATACTCGTGTGGTTAGCAAGCATGAGTCCGCTGACGCGGTGATTTGTGGTGACATATGGCGAACGACGCGTCAAAGCTACTTGTATCGATGCTGGTCCCCAAGGTATAAAGTTCGCAAGCTGACGTTCTCGTATCCGCAGAAGTGATTGGTGAACCTATATGACAGAGTGAGTGAGCAGAACGTCAAATGAATAACCAATGATGAAAGTCGTACGTCCGTTGGGTCGACATCTCCTTGAATGATATTCAAGATTGAGATGTAGCAGGCCGTTTTGCTTGGTGTTGTGGACACCATGCGGTTTTTTGGCTGAAGCAAACGACGCATGACATCAAGAACTGTTGTTCTACGAATTGGTTTTGCCTGATAATACGGGAGATAAGTAAATCTGTGCACCAAAGATAAAGAGGAGTGGGAACCTTGTCGATTTGATCACTTGTGAAGGGTGTGTACGAGGTCATAAGGAAGTGACATCGAGGCGTTGGTATGAGTGAGGCTATTATGCCCACAAGGTCGTTGTTCATATATCCTGGATATCGAAGTGTCTGCGTGCTTGCAGCCATGACTGTAGAGACCTTTGGCAGTGATCAGGCTCAATCAAACGATATCACTCTGTTTGTGCACTCACGAGCTGATTAGTCTGGTCAAAAGTAGGTGTTTGAACATGCAGCCGATCTGCCGATATCCGCGCCAATGCGCCATTGTCCAGGACAACGACCGAGTCAGCGTGGTTCGTTAGACGCTTAAGGGTAAGGAGGGAATTGTAAGGTTGTACCACGACATCACCCTCGTTGGCGTTCGGAAAAACAGAGTATGTTTGGATGAGCTTTTTGGGAAACTTATCATTCAGACGTTCGAGAATGAAGGAACCGAATCCTGAACCCGTGCCGCCTGCTATTGAATGCATGAGCATGAAGCCCTGTAAGACAGCTCATGAGGACATACAAAGACCAAGGCGAAACAGAAGCTAATGCTCACCTCCAGAGAGTCGCTCCCTTCAGCTTCTCGATCGATCATCTCCATGACCTCTTCATACAGTCTCTCCCCAGAAGCATACCCATGCGCCCAGTTATTTCCAGCACCACCACCATCTTTCGACATAAAAATGTTCTCCGGGTTGTACAAATTCGCCCACGGTGAGGTGAGGATGTTGTTGATAACCTAGACAATGCATAGTTAGGAGATCAGTTGCAACGCGTCATAGGAGCACGTACGCGAGGCTCCAGGTCGACAAGGATCGCGCGTGGAATATAATGCTCGTCGTCCGCCTGGTAGAAGAAGACATCTTTGCGGTCTCCACCTTCGGTCGCCCACTCCTCGAGGATACCTTCTTTGTTGATTCCGTGTTCAGCACAGAGGCGTTGCCAGTACACAGCGCCCACTTTTTTCAATCGCTAGATCAGAATGCCTAAGGCTTGAATGGGCTTAGAGAGCTCACCTTGATTGCCACATTGACCGAGCTGGACTGTCACTATTTCGCGAGGCATGATGGACGCGGAACGCGTTCAAGATTGTATCAAATTCACGCGTCACGCGCCGTCAACTCATTCACACACTGCTTTAGAGTCATAACAGCAGAAGAGTTATTAACATTATATGAACCACTTCCCACTAACAACGAAAACATTTGCACGTAGAGGTTAATGATGCAGGTAACTATGTGATTGTGTCTACGGGCCTTGAGCCCAGTGAGTATGTGTATAATCAAACTTTGTCATGGAGATAAGCGTGTGGTGGCCTTGAGCCATGCGTGCCGATGAAATAGTTCCTCTGGGTGAATGTTGTTGTGCGCTACAGGACGAGCAGGGACGAGCTGCTGACTACTGAAGACCCAAAGAGACAGATGCGTAAAGAGGAGCACCATGCTAGGTGCACGCCGGTTGATGCTTGACATCAGAATTGGTCGGGGTGGAGTGAGGTGATGGTAGCGCAATTGAAAGCAGAGATGAAACGAGACGAGACGAGAAGAATTTTCTGTGGAGAAAGTCCATAGCCTATGGGTTACCAAAAGGAAAGGTCTAACGTCTCCCAACTCCACGACGAGGGAGCTTCTTGATTTGTCTTCCATCAGGCTGAGGAGCAGCACCGATGGTAAATAGAGCGCCTCCGCCAGATGAAGCAGCAGTAGGAGCAAATGAATTTGGCGTTACAGCTGGCGCTGCACCCGACTGACCGAATGTAAACGCACCGCCTGAGGACTGTGGAAGCCCGCCAGAAGGGGTAGCCGGGGACGCAGGCTGACTACCCCCGAACGCAAACGAAGGTGCAGCAGGCTGCGTAGACGCGGGTGTGCCAAAAGAGAATGACGTCCCTGGGCAGTTAAATGTCGATGGACTGGATGGTGCTGATGATGTGCTTTGCTGTTGCCCAAATGCGTTGCTTGCGGTCTGGTTGAATCCAAACCCTGGGGTCGGCGCCACATTAGGTGATGCTGCCTGCGAAAACGAGAATGGCACTGTAGATGCTGGGGCAGGTGTTTCAGTTGCGCCCTGCCCAAATCCAAAGCCTGAACTAGAAGGCTGGCCAAAGTTCCCGGAGCCAAACGCCATCCCCGGCTTTTCCTTGTCCTCTGGCTTCGAGAATGGATTGGCACTAGCTGTACCAAATCCGAATCCAGGACCTGTTGCCGTAGCAGGGCTCTGCGCGAAGAGGGTGCTCCCTGCGGGGGTGCTGCTGGCACCAGTGAAAGAAGAAAAATCGAGTATTGGCCGTTCTGGTGCCTTCCCGTTGATATTCATGTCACGACTTGGGCTCTCATCCATGCTAATCTCCTGGTCTGCTTTTGGTGGCGTGGCAGGACGCACGGGTGCAGGAGCAGGAGCAGACTGCCCAAAATTGAACGGTTTGCTCGTGTCAGCGGCATTGCTGCCCGCATTGGCATGCCCAAAGCTGAATGGCTTGGCTGAAGTAGTAGCTGGTGCAGGAGAAGGGGTACCAAAGGTGAATGGCTTCTTCTCAGCTGGGGCAGGCGAAGCAGACGCAAATGAGAAAGGCGGAAGCACCGAGGCAGGTTTCTCCTCTGCGGGCGCAGTACTGGGGCGTGGGCCGAACGGAAATCCAGCCGTCGAGGTTGTATCTTGCTTCCCGAAAAATGGTTTGGGAGTTTCTATCGCAGGAGCAGGTACGGGCGCAGGGGTAGTAGAAGATGCGGGCCCGCCGAATGAGAAAGCACTCTTCGATGGCTCTGTCATCGCAGGCGTCGGCGCATGTTCCCCAAAAGAGAATCCAGGCTTGGACGACTCAGCTGCAGGTGCAGAAACGGCGGGTGTGCCAAAGCCGAAGGGAACGGCAGGTGGGGTAGCTCCAAAGAGCGACGGAGGTTTGCTTGCTTCTTCCGCTGGCTTTGTAACTTCCTTGGCAGGGGCGATTTCAGCAGGTGCAGTTGAAGCGCCAAACAAAAATGGCGAAGAGGACGGTGCAGGGGTAGAGGCATATGGCTGCGGCGGAGAAATGACGGGGGAAGCGACATGCGTCAACTCTATCGCTGCAGGCGCTGCTTTTGGTGGTGCTAGAACACCAAATGACGTGCCAGTGCTAGTGGAAGAAGGGCCGAAAATTAAAGTACTTGCAGACGGAGGAGCTGCTCCAAACATAGAAGTCGTAGCAGGCGCAGAGGATGGTGTGGCAGATATTTGAGGAGTAATCACAGGTGTACCAAACAAGGAATTAGACGCCTCAGTGACCTTTGGAGCCTCTGGCACTTGTGCCGGTGCTGGTGTGAGTGGAAGAACAGGAGGGGGTGCGCCAAAAGATCCCAAGTGAGTAGTGACGGCCAACGGCTTGGTATACGCAGCCGTATTAGCAAAGAAATTGGGAACACTAGAGGCACTTGTGGGAAGGGCAGCTGTAATGGGCGCGAGCTCAGTACGCGCCTCTGTTTTGGGCGGCTGCGGGGTAGGAGGAACAAACGAGATGGCAGGGACTGCTGGAGCGGGGGTTACAGAGGGCTCGGGTGCTGGGACCGGCTTAGCTGCAGGTGCAGTCGGTTTAGACAATGAAAACGGAAGCGCGCTGATGGGAGGTTCTTTTGCACCTGTGGCATCATGAGATATGGACGTCTGCAAAAATGATGAGATCGTTTATTCATCAGTGCCATAAAAATGATCTACCTCTTTCGCAAACGTGAACCCAGCAGGGATTTCGAACACGGGTACTTTCTTTGCAGCCTCCTCAAGTGCAGCTCTTTCATCATCCATAACATCATCGTCATCTTCAAACGCCGCAGAGAACTTATTTGTGCGCTTTGTTGTCGGGCGCTCAATGTGATTGCGCATCCGCGAGCGTCCAACGCGGAGAGACGACATTTCCCTTGTAGCATTGAGTTTCGGCTCGAATGCAGGCGCCTTCGGAACTACCGCAACCTCCATCTGTTTCTTGAGTTGTGCCTCTTCCTCCTGTGCTTTCTTTTGTTGTTCGTTTAATCTCTCAGCCTCAGCTTCAGCGCTTTCGTCCTCCTCCATCGTCCGCTCTTTCTCCTTCTCTCGATCAGCCTCCTCATACGCTCGCACCGCCTCCTCTTCCCGCTTTCTCCTTGCCAGCCACTTTTTCATGCCACCCTCGCCCGCATATGGCTTTGTCCCATTGACACCATCTCGATCCTTCATCTTGTTCTTGCCTTTCCCCTTCTTACGCTCTCGGTCCCGGTCATGCATGAGAGTGATAGGGCGGCTCTTCTTGGATATAAACGTATCCGGGATCGGTGCACCCTTAAGGCGCGAGGGAAGAAGGGGAGTTTTGTATACCTCAAGCTCATGCAGGGCCTTCTCGGCGGGATTGATCGGCCAAAGATGGGCTATTGCAGGATAATCAACAATCAAAAGCGATTAGAAATATGGGCATACGTACGAGCGGATATATCTGTCATGGATCCTGTGCCAAACAGAACAGACCCCCGTCGGACAGGTGAGCGGGTTTGCTGAGAAATTCGTGTCAAGAGTACGCCTACGACAAAAGAAACAAGAAGAGAAAAATCCTCACCTTACGCTGAGAGTCTATTAATGAGCCAAGAGTTGCTTGTCTGGTCATTTCCGCAGTTGTGAGCTTCTGCAAGCCAGACGGGGGCTTGACAAACATGGGGTTTGACATCAATGTCGTAAGTGGTGGCGGTTCAGTTGGATCGCGCTCCCGGCGAGGGGGAATGACGGGGCCGAAATCGGAACCTGAGGGCTGGGGTGTAACAGACGTACGCATACGAAGGTTTGACATGGACGGTTCCCTGCTGATGGACATGGCATCTTTCTCCTCGGTGAGATCTTGCATAGTGGGAACTGGCTGCAACCGGGCTGGCGAACCGGAGTAACCTAACCCAGATGGAGGATCAAGAGACATTGTACGCACAGACGGCTGTGCCTTGAGCTGCGATCCACTTGGGTAAGGGGACATCGTGCGTCTATTGCGAGGTGTGGCAGCAGGTACACGGAGGGCTTTTCGTGGCGAGGGCGAGACATGACGGTGATTTTGGATGCGTACACCTTCAGATGTCTTATGATGCTGTATGAAGGCTGATCTGGGGGGATCAAGGTATGGTTGCTTATCTCTGTTGGGGCTGCCCATTCTCATTCTCTTGGTCCGTTGTTCCGAGTCAGAGTCAGAGTCATCGCGAGTTTGCTCAGAGGCAATGGGTAACCGCCTTCGCTTTCCTCTGGCGTCGCTATCGCCAAAGTCTTCTTCGCTGCCACCAAACCATGAGAGTGGGGCAGTGACAATATTCTTGATGGCGCCGAAGAACGAATTTTTGCGTCCTAGTGCAGCTGGAGGGGGACGAGCCTGTGTTTGGGTATAGGTGCTCATCACTGTCTGCATTGATGAGAACAGTTTTGATCCAGTGGTCGCTGTCGTCCTGTGCGCACAAACTGACAGTGTCTACAGCGCGTGGAGAACCCTCACGGGATGCAAACTTTGCTCCGTTTCATCCGCACAAGATCACAAACGAGGCGATACTCTCCCACGATCACACAGCCCGGCGGGTCATTACGTTATAATGTAAGGAACCGGTAAATGATTCCGATACTATTGACGTCGATGATCTGCTAGTAGCTAGCTTGGCCACAGTAAGCATCTGATAGGCTACAGCATGTATTCAAAAAGTCCGTTGAACTTGGCTGCTCGACATTTACGCTCTTTGTCATACAAGACACGACAAATACATACGACTCGGAACACACGTGTATCACCGGACACCGTGACACCAGAGACAGCGACCACATCTAAATTGGACGGGGATGTAAGTGACTTCGAGACCATGGGTTCTCGACACTAATCACTATCTATAGTCTCAAGAACGATGGTTGTTCATCGATTCTGTCTTCCCTATTCGTCTCGGTATCTGGGAGTTCGTACCACTCAACTACACCTTTTACCTTAACTAAACCCACGCAGTCTTCGACACTACATTGGCATATTACGCGAGGAAAACCTCTTGGAGCGCTTGCATGAGCGTCTCGAGACTGTAAAGACGCACGACTTCCACATACACGAGCTCCAGCCTTATCAGAAGGATGGTGGTGTCTTTGTGCGCTTCACTTATACTGGTCGTGATCACCAGACCGCACTCGAAACGCTTCAGACGGATCTCCAACTTGAAGCTACTAAGCATGGTGGTCTCCCCTCTTGGTCGGGACTTAATCACTGTAATATTTGGCTCGTGAAGGGAGAGCCGTTTCTTGAGGTGCGTTTTCGCAAGTAGAAGTTACTTGGCGAGAATGCAAACAACGCGATTAGGATATGTACCGATATCCGTCAGGAATTGTCCACGTGTCCTTCCAGGGCCCAGATGTTCCTGAAGAAGCCTTGTATAGTCTGTTTCGAGTGAGTTCACTCATTTATAAGTTTACCTCTCCTTACGCCATGGCAGTCGTGCGGCCGGATACAGAATATAACTTCCCCTACACCCGTTCCTGCAGGCACACTCCGCTCTTCCGATATTCTGTTTCACCGCGTACGCTCCGCCACCATCGCACGGAACACCATCCATGGATACACATTCTCCAATGGTGATGGAACGACACGTCTGAAGACTGTATATCAACGTCCCATTCAGGCCCATGCAATCAGAGACTGGCTGACTTCGCATCCCAGGATTGTGTTGCCGATCATATTTTTTTACTCGGCACGTTGACTTACACTGTGCGTGAACTCTTCTCCGATTTATTCATGAGCTAGAAAACAGTTGTTTAGATATTTGATCCCATAAGAGTCCTCTCTGTTGAAGGGAAGATGCTCAATTGGTTCGATTATCGCGGTAAGTATTTACAATCACGGTCATTCAACATACTAACTTATTTATTTCATTTCAGAATATAAACTATATAAATGGCTTCGTGCGAATGCCTTGGACCGGTTCTCCCTCACGAGCTTGGCTCGTGAAGGCGTCTCTCCACAGGGAGACATCTGGAAGGAGCGTGAGGATGCAGAAAGCGCTGTGCGGAGCTACCTCTCTGACCTACCTTGTAAGTTTCTCGCCCATTTTCCAATGTAACATTCTGACAGCACAATTTGAATAGCTACCGTTGCATTCGTGCATGGTCCCCAGGGCAGTGGCAAATCGCGTATGGTCGAGGCTATCATCCGCGACACTGGCAGGTTTGTAATACGCCATGTCCATCTAGACACGGCTTATCATGCTTTACAGAAAAACTTTAGTGATCGATTGTGCTGAGCTCAATAGAGCGACATCAGACATGCGTCTCGTTTCCGCACTCGCACAGCAGACCGGCTACAGACCAATTTTTGCCTTCCTGAACTCCGTCAACAACATGGTGGACATTGCGACCGTTGGCCTAATCGGGCAAAAAGGTGACCAGATTGACTCCTTCACTTTGTTAATGTAATAATGTATTTCTAGCGGGCTTTAAGTCTTCCCTTGAAGACCAGCTGAAACAAATACTCGAAGTCACAGGTACAGCATTGAAGAAAGTCAATCATTCCCTCCGCACTTCTGCGCAGCGCGCTGTTAAAGCAACACAAGAAGCTGAAGCACGACAAGCTGAAGAAGCACGAACTCGCGCTCGTATTCGCGCCGGGACATGGCACGATCCACGGCTGGACTGTATTGCCGGAAACGGCGTTATAAGCGAGCTTGGGGTGGGCGACGAGTTACTAGAGGGTGACGACGGCGGGCTTGCGGGCTTCAATGTGATAGAGGAAGATGCCGTAAACTCGAGTGATGGAGGGGAGAAGACGAGCGAGGAGCTAGCAAGACAACAACACCGGCACGCAGAGGACGTGCAAGTTGTGCGTACTCTACCGATTGTGGTCATCAAAAACTATGCCGCACGGGGAGGAGTTTACAAAGAAGAACTTCTCGGCGTTTTGGCGCATTGGGCAGCGTCCCTCGCCGAGAACCAGGTGATTCACATCACTCCATTTGTCAATTGTGCTCCTAATGCCTTTCGAGGTTGCCCATGTTATCGTAGTCAGCGACAACCGCGAGGATGCAAAGCTACTGGCCCGGGGTATGTTTTTTATCTACACCCATATGAGGTATTGTTAATATGGCGCTGCAGCGTTGCCTTCCAAGCCATTGAACTCTATTGCCCTTCATGATGCTGATGCCCCCACTGCACTCTCCTTTGTCCGCCGACGCCTATACGATGCTGGTATCACTTCGGATCTCACGCCTGCACAAAAGAAGGCCATCGAACACCTTGGCGGCCGCACGAGCGACCTTGAACGTGTAAGTTATATGTTGCCTTTTTAATGCACATACTGATACCTTCCTCACATATAGCTAATCCACAAAGTCTGCAGTAATCAAGGCATCGAGGAAGCGGTAGAAGATATCATTGCTGGCGGTGTCGGAGAACTGAGGAAGAAAGCCTTTGGAGAGGACATCGACGACGCTAAGAGTTTGCCGTGGTCCAGGGAGCAGGCGTGGACTGTGCTCAAGCAGCTGGCACGCAGAGCTGAGGTACTTAACTCCTGTGCTAGTCGACAAGTTACTCACTTTTCTCGTCAGCTGCCGTATTATGAAGTATTACTCGATGTGCCTTTCAAGGGAGACGAACTGCCGCTTCGTGTCATGGAACACGCTGAGATCATATCTATCAGCACACGACATGGTACTGTCAATCATTCAGGCTGGGGGGACGCTATTTAATATCCTTTTCAGGTCGACCCTCCACGATACGTCCCGGAAAGCCCGTGTTCAAATATGTCTTTGAGAGACTTGTGAACGGTAACGGCAATGCAATTGTGATCTAATGTTCTCTCACTAACGATACGTCAGACCCTGTCTTCCAAGCCACACAAGACATCGCGCTCAACGACAAAGTTATCTCGAGCGCTGAAAGTACCGTTCGTACATGCGAGTCCGAGCTTAGCACGCTTCAGGACCTCTCCAAAACGGAGCGGTCATTTTGGTGGTTCAGGCGTAGAGCAACATCCGAGCGGAGGGAATACTTGTTGAAGAAGATGCGTTCCGCACAAACAAAGATTCAGACTCTGGAGAAGCGGAATGCTGAGTTGAAGAGAGTATTGGCGAAGGGTGTTTGATTATATAGTATCGTACGCTTAACATATGCTCTGCAGATTCTACAGATCAACTTTTACGAAGTAGGGTCCACGGACGCTAGTCGATGGGTTGAGTAGAGTACAGCTGACCTGGCATCGTTCTCCCAGTTCAGTACACAGAATCAAGATTTACACTATTGCTTTCTTCTTAGCCACCCGGTGCTTGCAACACCGCTTTCAACTTGAGGCGAACTTGAACCAAGAATATTAATGCACTTTTCCTTCGCTGAAGCTCCTGAAATGAACTGCAGAATGCGATGACTTATGTATCTTGCATTAGGAAGGACAGTGATTTAAACAGCGTTGCCTGAAATTTAGGGCGATACAAAGGTAATATTTGTGGTGCTGCTGGTGCGTTATTTGGACCTGGCCCAAGAGATACGAATATAGCTAGATAGGCTTGATCTTGAAGTGAAGAGAAATAAGGGAGAATATCAAACACTACAGATGGCTGTAAGATAGTGTGAGGGAAAGTAGGCGAAAACACACCTTCAAATCTTGTACGAGGTAGTAAAATACACGAAGTCCTTCAGGATCCTCGCTGTCTTGGATATCAACAAGTGACCCTATTTTTGCAGTCTAAATGTGACGAATGAGTTATGAGATACCATTTGTAGAGATACTGCTAATCACGTACCTCGAAGGCAATGTGGTCATTGCCTACACGTATCTCAAGTTCTTGCTTTCCAACGATGTTTTTTTTTGGCCAGTTCGTATCATCTTCCCTGAAAGGCCAGTCAGCAGGTCAAAAATGGGGCACAGCTTGTGATTACTTTGTGATTTCACTCGATTCCACAATGCGCTTGAGCTCCTTGACCACTAACGGCCCAACCCACACTGAGGACTTGGGTCAGCACTCGAGCGGGACGCAGGATGAACCACCGACTTTCTTTACGGATCAAGCTGTCATTCCTATAATTCGAGTTGTTGGCATATCGAAGACGACCATGGGAGTACTCAAACTCCAAGAATTCATGGCCGTGTTTTCCTGAATGGCCAGTGCTGCATTGAATATTTAGCGACATCACAAAACGAAATTCATCATGATTTACTAGTATCTGAAAACGCCTGTCAGCTCAATTATTTCATGAATTAGCAACACACCCGCCTGAGATAAAATGGGTCACTGTCATGGGAAGACATAGCGGTCTATTGTTGAGCCTCGTTCCAAAGCTCATGAATCGGAGGGTTTCAAAGGCATGATCCGGCATTCGCCGGGTTCGATATTTGCATAGGCTGAAGCGTGATTCGCGAACTTGAAGACATGTTCCCTCAACGATCTTGTCTGGCTCTGCCAACTATAGCCAGATTTGTGCGGTTTAATGGCAGCAGCAGCCACCCAGTGTATGTGCTTGCTCACTACGTGTCTTGCAGCTGAATGATATCAGCATTTATGCAGTGCTACTCGACAGCTGGAATCAGAGGCTCCAGCACCATTGACAGAAGAAGAGTTTTCTTCCATGATTATTCATGGACGCAGCCTCTACCCCCCGTCATACCACCCCCGCACTCATTCAGTTCCAGTCGCTCAACTGCAGTTCCGCGCATACCACCCACAATTTCTTGAACTGTACATGCATTTTGTAGGACATGCAGCTGCAGCATTAGGCATCCCAATTTCACGCCCGGTGTACTTGCCAACACAACGTTCGCTATGGACTGTACCTCGTGGTCCGTTCGTGCACAAAAAGAGTCAAGAGAACTTCGAGCGGAAGGTGCACAAACGTGCAATTAAAGCATGGGATGCAGACCCCGAGGTCGTCGACCGTTGGGTGCGGTACATCTCTCGACATACAATGCCTGGAGTTGGGCTGAGAGTGACTCAATGGAAGAGGGCACCTCCTGGTATCGGACAACAGATGGTAGATGCAGCCGTAGGCTCAACCAGACTAGGATCAAGTGCCGACAACGTTAAGGCGTTGGCAAAGAAAATTGTGCAGCAAGAACTTTGATATTTTATACGTTTTCTATCTTTTGTTTATTTTGCGCTATAATCATCTGATGGTCCATGCATGATATTGCTGTAACTAGAGTACAGGCCCGACTACATGCATATTTTATGGCTATCCTACACCTCGTCAGCGTGATGACTCCCAGAACCAATTGTATCTGGTTGACCTCCAGTCTGCAGAATGGGTCTCTCCGGAGGTTCCCCGACAGAGTAGCCGATGACTTTGAATTCTAATATGAACAAACAACACTCAGCGCAAAGTAGTAGACGGTATTCAGACTGTAGACACTTCAGTACTAGGACCTGGCCTACCACAGCTCATATACGGCCACCGCAACGAACATGGATGCACAAGGACATCTTTTATCACTGAAAGTGATGCGGGTATCTGTGGGTGGACAATCTTTCAGCGCGCGACGTGGTGATCAATGCTGGTACTTAATGACAGAGACCATCGCTAGCTAGCGCATGGCAGCCCTTTTATTCCAGCTCTCCTTCATTCTCTGCCCACTCTACTGCGTCCATTCTCTCTCTGCAAGGAAAGACACCTCTCCAAGGCCACCCCAAGACCCTACGGGATCTCACTCAAGCATCTGAGTTCCTTACGCTTCCCGCCTCGTTCGGAGCCATTCAGCTAGGCGAAACATTTTCCAGTTGCATATGCATTAACAATGAGACCAATATCGACGTCGAGGGTATCAGTGTCCGCGTTGAGATCCAGACAGCAAACTCCAAGATACTGTTAGCTGAACTTGGTGGCCCAGGTTTCAAGCTCGCAACAGGAGATTCACTGGAATATGTGGCCCACCACGAGGTGAAGGAGTTGGGCCACCATGTTCTGGCTTGTATCGTCTCGTACCACCTGCCTCCGTCATACCGACAGCCCCCTGGTGCTAATGGCCCCTCAAATGAAGCAACCTTCCGCAAGTTTTACAAGTTTGCTGTATGTATTGTTTTCCATGGGACTTCTGGCGATTTGAATATTTCGACTGAAAACGCGCTAGGTTACCAACCCTCTTTCTGTAAAGACAAAGGTACATACACCTCGGTCTCCGTCGGCGTTGATGATTTCGTCAGAGCGCGAGAAAGTATTTCTCGAGGTCCACATTCAAAACTTAACACAGGATACGATGTGGTTCGAGCGCATGGAGTTTGAATGCGCGGAGGGATGGAGTGTTGTCGATGCCAACACGACAAATAATGATAAGGATCGGAGATTATTCTCTGGTTCGATGGCTCTCATGCAACCACAAGCCATACGACAGTATATTTATATCCTGACCCCAACATCGTCTTTCTCGTTTCCTGTCGTTCATGCAGCAGGCAGTGTCATCCCTCTCGGTAGACTTGACATCTCATGGCGTTCTCAGTTCGGCGAGCCTGGGCGTTTATTAACTTCGGTGAGATCACCGTCCAAAAGAGTAGTTTCATCGCTTATTTTTGACACCTAGATGTTGTCCCGTCGATTTCCTGGCCCCACTCCAGTTCCGAACCCAACTCCAACTCCAACTCCAGCTCCCCCACTCCAGCACCCTGTTTCAGCGCTTCCGCCTTATCTTCAGCGCACCGTGCCAAGTGCACCATCATCGCCCGCCCGACCGCGATCTCCACAACTTCCCCCTTCTCGACCTAGTTCCCCAACCCCGGCTCCATACAGACCAGGCTCACCCTTCCGCACGCGCCCGCAATCATCAGCAGCTGGATCTATGTCCAACATGCCTATCGCACCAAATCAACAACAAACAGTACCACCGGCGCCTGCTTCCGTGTTGGACGTCGAGGTCGACGTTATTGTAAACCATATTGCCAGGGAATCTATCGCTGTTGAACTGCCCTTCAAGATCGCTTTCACTGCCACTGTTTCTGCTGCTCTACCAAAGGCCAAAGGGAAACAAAGGGTCATAACTCTTGCTGTACAACATCTTCAATATCCGTGTGCTACAGCGATTGCATACCCTGAACCATTCCAGGCCACCGAAACAATTAGCTCACGGTTCTCGTCTCTGGGCTTCACTTCTGCGACGTCAACGCTTGTTACCCCTGTACAAAATTCCCCCAACATGGCAAGCGAGAATCTCTTGGTTATCTCGCCAGAGAAGATTCTCACACGCGGGGGGCCCACATTGCCACCCCCTTACTTTGAGTCCGCTGATGAGGAGAAACGCGCAAAGATGAAAGGCTGCGTGTTTGTTGGGTCATCCACACAGTTCCTGAACCCGATTGCGCTCACTGATCCCAGTCACGCCAGTCATCATGAGGACTCATTAGATGATGATGTGAGGAAGGCAGAGGGTAGTCAAGAATTTGAACTTACCTTCCTGCCTGTGCAGACAGGATTTGTGCGAGCGGGCGGCTTGCGCATCCTACTAGTCAGGGATGAGCTCGTAGATGTTGGTACAGATCAGGCTACTCATTACTTAGGGTCCGGCGCGAGGGAAGCAAGGACAATAAAAGAGTTAGACGTAGTCGCCGAACTTTGGGTTCATTCATGATCATGATTTATTCAATCTAATGGGCCTCGCACGATTTAGGGAGGCGCATGCACGCCGGTATAGCCAAAACGGTCTTTCGATAAGTGGAAGAATTATGGGTCGTTTCATGCGTGACTGCAGTCACCGGCGCCCGAGTGTGCAAGCTTTGGGAGGCATATTGCCCAGCGTGTGCTAGCTTGAGCATACGGGTACAGCTTCGTGACGAGTTTCAGTGGCCCGATGTCATTTCCTGGCTCGCATAATCCTGGGTAAGGTGCACCATATTCCTGGTAATGAGCGGGTTAAGACAAACTACGAACGTCTTGTGAACTAATACATCTTGCAAGCGTTACGTGAAGTCGCTGAATTTTTAGCTGCCCAAACGCTTTCCGTCGATGTGGAAACAGTCACATTCGCCCAGCATTTCCCCAGGTCAGTCTGCGTCTTGTTGCGCCGTGTAAACAGTACCGAGAATTCATGATTTTTCCAATAGGAAACCATTATCTCCTAATCAGTTCAGCAAAACACTGAGGGAACTCGGACTGACACCGTCAGCGGTACGTACTTTTCCGGGGGATTATGACACGGCACATTGGTTTTTTAGGTCCTCATCTGCGATATATCGGCTGTGACTTGGAATTTTTGTGATCCTTTCGGAATGGAAACCTAGCAGGAATGAAACGCACAATTGTACACCACCGCAATGGATTTAACTTCGTATATTATGGACGAGGGATATAAGTGACAGACGAGAAAATGGTGAAATATGCTAAATGTGAGTTTGATGTGGGTATGGAGAAGAATGTCCATGTCAAGAGACGATAATAATAAAAAAGCAAATGAAGAAACCAAGTTAAAGATATTCGAAGAGTGTTATCGTACCGTCCAGATCACTGACCACAATTCTCCCAGACTCCTCATCAATCGCGACCGTGCTCCAATCGTTGCGGTCTCATACGCGAAATACCATGGAATCATGTGAGCCATGCTGGCTAGTTGAGAATCCTCCTGTAGTCGTCAGTATCTGTCCTGCAAGTCGCTGATCGAACTCGCTAGGCTCCCTCGCGTACGCCCAGTCTTCGTAATAGTTGTCAAGCCAGATAACAGTACCATATCGTCCTAGAGCAACGTCCGACGTTCGAAATGAAAACACTGGTGAGCCTATCGTCTGCACTAGAGTGGGCTGTGCCACTTATGGAAGGTTATATAGAGAAGTCTCTCGTCCTGGAATGTACGCGGGATTTGGCGTAAGTACGAAAAGATACAACGTGTTCACCGGCCAGAGATTGGTGCTTCTAAAACGAACGACAATGTTGATTGGTGAGGGGCGGCGCGAGCGCGCAGCATGCCAGTTGACTTGCCCTGACATGTAGACGGAGTCTATGAGCCGTTGAAAGTTGTGCTGTGCGAGTGGGTACGAGATTGACACTCCCGGCGTTGCAAGGTTGTTGGGTCGGGGAATGGTGGAGTAGAGCTCGACAATCTGACGGCGGATGATTACTATGTAATCGTCACAGAGATGCATAGCTTCGCAGTAATGGAACTGCCAAATCATAGAACTCAGCGACGTGCGGGATTACACGGGAAAAGCAAGCTAACCGGTGATAGCGAGGGGCTCACCAACTGGATTTTCTCATAAGGCTGATCACTGATGTCCCATATGCTCACTTCCCCGTCGTCTTCTGGACGCCTCGTGACGAGTGTGCTCTCACTGAGTAGGTGAATCTCTCTAAGTCCATCAATGGTACTCAGCGGAACGAATGCTGACTCGGGGTTTTTCTCTTCGAAGTCGATTGTGAGTATTTCCGTTCTATGATAAACCATCAGCAAGAACGTTAAAGTGGGTGTTACTATTCACACTTACAGTGATGACTGGATCGCTATCATGGCTGGAGAAGAGGGATCGTCATTGATAACAACACGGTCGTATGGCCCTTCCATGTATGTCAATTTTGCTATGCACACGGGTTGTAGGACAGCAAGGTCCCAGCACTGGATAACGCGTTGTAGGCGAAATTGGCCTACCACCCTAGTCGCAACAGAAATAAACCAACGATTTCTTTTGCCAGGGAGAAACTCCATAAAGAAAATGTACAAATCCTTCTCGGAGGGCTCTTCAAAATCAATTTCCCTCTTCACATTCGGATTAGGGTTAGTCCAGTTTCTGCGAAGAGCGAGTGCACGACATGTACGCCGCTCGAGCTCTAAGGCTGACAAAGACTCAAGGGATTTTCCATAGAAGTAGGGTATAGGGATGTTTTGTTCCTGGACAAGAGTCCGCAGAAGGAGAGCCCACAGACTGCGCAGACGGGTGATAGCCTAAAAACATTTACTAGTCTAGAAAATAAAAATCAGATTAAAAAATGCTGTGAAATGAAGCAGGGGCACAAACCTGCCGTAGTGCCAGGACGCTTTGGATAGGAAGATGCTGAAATATATCGTCGAGAGGAATAGTAGGAAGGGATGGCGAGCGATCCCTATATGAGCCAATAGCTAATTCATCCATAGTTGGCATAGTGGACAAAATGGCGGGGGTTCACGTTACCGTTCACTGACTCACTGCTTTATTAACTACAGCACTATCGGAACTGATATAGCGAGAAATCGTTCCCTGGCCTCCGTTGACCATTAATGTAACGTGAGAAAGACCTCTGTATTCCGAATCCCAGCTTAATGGTCATGTTATTTATCTTTTGGCCAGGAGTTCCAGTGAAAATCGACAGGAATGAGGTAGAGAGCACATGTAGATAGATGTACCAAACGAAAAAGATAGAAATCTAATCATAGACAGGGGAAAGTCTTGAAGTAACAGTATCAAGGAATGCTAAAAATGCATTAAGAGGGAATCGAACCCCCGGCGGGTCGATGGCAACGACCCAGGTTACCACTACCCCATTAATGCTTGCGATACGTTAGGCTATCAGTAGTATATACTGTTTGATTTGCTAGGACATCAAATGGTCGAGACTAAACCTATAATCTGGTCTACTAGCGATTCAGCCACTGCTGCAGTAGTCAGTGTTCACCTTCACCAATTATGTAGAAACTTTTTATACATTCAAATAATCTACTTGCGTCCGGATCGACGCTTTTCTTTCGCCTTCTCTCTATCCATGACCTTTTGTTCAGCTCTCTCGCCTTCCAACATTGAAAACGCCTTATTCATGCGGTCCTTGTAAGCGCGGTCCTTTTCAGCCTGTTGTTTGTGCTCGACAGCTGCCAAGAATTTCGCATCCTTTCTGAGCTCACGAATGGCCCCCTTCTTCTCCTGCTTGAGTTGGTAGCGAAGCTTCGAGGCCTCGTTACGTTCATGATCTGGATCCTGCCGACGCAGGTAAGAGGAGGACCTTGACTCAAACTTGGGTATGTATGTCGGGATCGGAATTGGCTTGTGGGCCTGAAGTAGAAGAGGTCTACGAGCTTGACGAGCAAACTTCAATAACCTGGTGAGCTTGTCTTGCAAAGAGGAGGCTTGCGTCTAATTTATGGTTAATTCACTTTTCGTACGGTCGTGATATAGACCCACTCGAACGCCCTCCGAAAGTTTTGTGATGTCGAGCTTCATCAGGATATCTAGAACTGGTTGATAGAGCTCAATAAAACCGTCGAGGCTCTTGTACATTTCTGAAAACCGGTCCAGAAGGCGAAAAGCGAGACCTAGTAGATCAAGTTTATCCTGCTCCTGATAATTCTCGTCAGTCAGGAGCTGATGTAGGTTTGGTGTGCGGAAGTCAAGATGCTTGGACTTCTTGACGTCGATCGCAAGGGGTGCACAGAGATCTGAATGGAAGTCGGGGGAAGGAAATGAACCGGGTATTGACGTGACATTTTTGAGAGAGCTCGGAGCTAGGTGCAAGACCGCATTGATAGAAAAGTTAATGGCTTCTGGGACTAGGCGTTTGGACAATTCCTCGTACTGTAGGAATATAGAGGATAAGAAGAGTCCACTCGTTATGTCCGTTAGTGACCGAACACGGCACAGCCCCAAGTAAGCACCCATGAGAAGTCGTGCTGGTGAAATGACGGGATGGCTCATGTCACTACTAGACCATATGACTCCGATGGTGCGCAAGAGGGACAATTCAGCCGGTCCTGGCCATGTTCTTGCACCCAGTTCAAGAGCTCCCCGCGATAATCCCCGTTCCAAATTTTTGTGCATCAGCGAGAGTTTCTCCACGAAAATTCCCGCAGCTTCGATCGGGTACGAGCGGCAAAGTGCAAAGAGGTGGGGAACAATAGAGTTCAGGAGCGTGAATCGTGGAGCAGGGAGAGATGTGATATAGAGTATGTGGTCAACAAGGACGGATGTCAAGTTCTACAGAGAATGTCAACTGAGCTCACAGCTGTCGAAGGAAGGCATTACCTGAAGCTTCACTTTATGATCCGGGGAAAGGCTTGGGTGATGCAATGTGCGTATGCGCTGAACAACGATAGGCACATCTGTATCATCTATCTCTTCAATAATCTCCAGAAACTCTTCGTGTGACTCGGGGCAAGGGAAAGTGAAGGGTAGGTCATGTCGAACACCTGGTGGTTCTAGTTTTGCTGACTTCCGGTTCGTTGTGATTTCGTCGAATTCACTTCCAGAGGTACTCCCTGCCTTACTGCCAAAGCTCGTTTCACTTCCCTCCTCCGCCTCACTGTTCTCATCCTCACCGTCGGTCTCCTTGTCCTCATCCACACTTTCGTCTTCATCTTCCTCCTCCTCGCTGTCATCCTGCGCAACCCCCTGGTCGATCCCGCGAACTAATCCTGACCCAATAGTTGCGAAGGATCCATCCCCTGAAAAATCGTCCTCGAGGTTTGCGCCGCCTTCTCCATCTTCTCCGAGCATTCTCCGCATTCGCTGCCTTTCAGCTGCCTCTAAAGCCTCTTTTTGTTCGAGCGCAAGCTCGTCTTCCGTTTTCGTGCGATCCTTTGCTTTTGCGCGTTGATCAAAGGCAAGTTCGCGAACCTGTCTGTCGTAGTCCATGTAGACGGAGGGAATGCCAGGTTGAGAAGCCACGTTGCTATCGGTTATATGTGCGTCAGGCGTGAAGAGTAGACCTCTGAAGGAATCGAAGTCTTCGTCCAGTTGATGTCGCATACTCTCTTCTTGCGCGTTGTGCAGTTGACGGAGAGCCTAAACGAAAATTAGGAAGACTCCAGTAAAAAAGTATCATACATTACCTTATGTTGTTTACTTTTGGCGATGAGTTCTGCCATAACTTCCGCTTTCGATTTCTTCCGGTCGGACTGGAAAGTGAAGAATAAGTAGAAGAACATTTCCCTCTAACGTATGACAGGCGCACCTTATTGTCTGTCTCGTCCTTATCGCCGAAGCCACCAAAGTGTTCCCTCCCCACGATGTCACGATCGAGTTGGCCTTGAACGAATTAGAGAAAACATACTCGGTACAAAATATACGAATACTCACCTTCATCTTCATCTTCATCTTCATCCATAGGCAAACCAACATCATCAAAATGGTCGAGGTTCGAAAGGCTTTGGCCATAGTGCGTGAGCTGTTCCTCGCCCTCGAGATTAAATGCGGCGCCTTTGGAAGCTCGTTGCCTTTCTTGCGTGAAGCGCTCGAGCATGCGCTCCTCAAGAGACATAGACGGGTCGTTTTCACCGAAGCGCTTGTCGATGACTCCGCCAACACGACGCCTGTCCTGGATCTCTTTTAAAAGAGTTTTCTCGCGCTATTGTAGGCAATGTAAGAGACCTGTCGATACTCCTAGAAAATACAATATGCACACCTGTTCGATGCCCGCTTGTTTGCTCTCTGCGGGTCTCCCTTTGGATCCTTTTATCTTGCGTCCGCCGACATCATGTTTTACTTTCGTGACCTTGGTGTCGAAGGGATTCAGCTTCTTTTGTATCTCCTGCAATTTGGCGGCCTTCTTGAATTTATCTTCATCTATAGAACCTGAACGCTTGCGCTTCTTTCCGTTTTGTGGGGCCTTGCTGATCCCCGCTTGACATAACGCTGACTTGAGCTGAGATAACTGAGAGCCCTTCGCCATGCCTTGGGTAGTGTAATGATCGCCCGCCAACAAAATGTAATGCTTATATAAGCAGATAGTAACGGTGAGGCACACACTACAGTCGATTCCGAAAGTCGTGTTCGACAAAAATGAAAATTCATTTAGAATTTATGTAAATCAGTTTCGAGTTTTGTAGACTTCTGAACGGCTTCGAACACACTATCTCACACCTATTTCCTACACAGACTCCCTATGGTTTACCAGAGGGTCGGTCCTGACCGAAAAGAATGAGCTTTCAAGTTGTACCTGCATTTGGACTCTGGAGGAAGGATGGGAAATCGAGCACATGCTGCTGTTCTTGAAAGTATGGAGCGTACGGTATAGAGTGATGGGAGGTATACCGGTAAGTCTTAAGTAGCATATTCTATTTTAGGGGAGTTCAAAGTTAACGTTGAACGTTCGAACGCCCAAGCCCAACGCCTAGTAACGCCCGACCTCGTGTGTATACCTAGAATAAATAGAAGTAAATACAAAGTAAACGATAAACGATGTTAAATTGGTTGACTACGCGAATGTGCCATTCTCAATATTTCCCGAACGCGCTAGCAGGGCGGACACAATCATGCCATAAAGTTCGCCATGAAGAATTGTGGCCCCATTGGCATACTTGTCCAATGAGCCAGTGAGTGATCCTACAGTAAGACCCAAAAAGACGGTCGTCCGGCTACAAGTCACGTCATACAATGAGCTCATTTTTACCATCTCAAATACATCAAATTGATTTAGCGGTCTCCCAGCCTGGCCTTACCTGAAGATTACAGCTTTCTACGCTGGCAGCTTGAGGGACAGTGAGTCATATTTCTGCTTTTGCTTTTGCATCATGGCTGCGCTGATGGTGCAATACCTATCAGTATTATAATACAGTTGCTTTCGGACGAATTTCATACTGCTCGAGCAATATGAATGTCTGAATTTATCTGAAAATGATCGACTATCTCTACTCTTGCTCGTGGTCCACTGAGCAATCAACTTCTCAACTTTGTCGCTGCGCTGGCAGGGTCGCTGTGCTGGCAGGGTCGTTGCATGTTCAAATGAAGAAGTGACGAGTGAGAGATTGGGTTTTGATACAAAGGTCGTACTATTCACTCGAATCGGTTCTTGCAGGCTCTGTCTAAATTTGTGCCATCTGACAGCAATGACAATTCTGCCAAATCGATCAGAATCGTGCCAATGCATTAGTATATAAAAGCTGGCCGTTGTCCTGTAGTAGTCCCCATCCTTAGTGATATCATTTGAGAACCCCCTCAGAAGATTCCACATCACTTCGCACAGAAAATGCGTTTCTTCCTCCTCGCTGTTGTTGCCGCTTTGACAGCATCCATGTCTGTCAATGCAGCAACTCCATGTCTGCCTAACAATGATGAACCTGAAGCGACTTGCCAGACAGATAGCGATTGCTGCCAAGGCTATTTTTGTTTCTATCGTAGCGTGAGTATGAGCAGGTCGCTGTGCATCCATGGCTCACCTGTGCACCTTAGTTGCCGGG